AACTTCCGATGGCTGGCCGCTGGGCTCCTCATCTTCAAGGATCTTGTCTCCTTTGCAGAATTTCTTGAAGCACTGTATGTTCATAGCAGTTCCTGGGCCAAATGAGTTCTTAATGTTGCAAATTGCCTCTGCTGCTTTATAACCCATTTTGAACTTGAATATCACTCAAATTTGCCTTTTGTTTAACATCATTTCCTAGTCTAAAACAATTACAAAATATATAGCAAGTAATAAGGCATTTCACAACAAACTGTGGAAAATTCTTAAAGAGATGAAAATACCAGACCTCCTGACCTGCCTCCTCAGAAATCTGCATGCAAGTCAAGAAGCAATAGTGAGAACTGGACATGGAACAACAGACTGGTTCCAGATCCAGAAAGAAGGACGTCAAAGCTGTACATTGTCACCCTGCCTATTTAACTTATATGCAGACTACATCATGCAAAATGCCAGGCTGCATGAAGAACAAGCTGGAATCAAGATTGCTGGGAGAAATATCAATAACTTCAGATATCCAGATGACACCACCCTTATGGCAGAAAGCGAAGAAGAACTAAAGAGCCTCTTGATGAAAATGAAAGAGGAGAGTGAAAAAGTTGGCTTAAAACTCAACATTCAGAAAACTAAGATCATGGCATCTGGTCCTATCACTTCATGGCAAATGAATGGGGAAACAATGGAAATTGTGAGAAACTTCATTTTCTTGGGCTCCGAAATCACTGCAGATGGTCACTGCAGCCTTGAAATTAAAAGATACTTGCTCCTTGGAAGAAAATCTATGACCAACCTAGACAGCATATTAAAAAGCGGAGACATTACTTTGCCCACAAAGGTCTGCCTAGTCAAAGCTATGATTTTTCTAATAGTCATATATAGATGTGAGAGTTGGACCATAAAGAAAGGCGAGCACCGAAGAATTGATGCTTTTGAACTGTGGTGTTGGAGAAGACTCTTGAGAGTCCCTTGGACTACAAGGAGATCCAACTAGTCAATCCTAGAGGAAATCAGTCCTGAATATTCATTGGAAGGACTGATGTTGAAGCTGAAGCTTCAATACTTTGGCCACCTGATTCGAAGAACTGACTCATTTGAAAAGACGCTGATGCTGGGAAAGATTGAAGGTAGGAGGATGAATTGGTTGTATGGCATCACTGACTCGATGGACCTGAGTTCAAGTAAACTCCAGGAGTTGGTGATGGACAGGGGAGCCTGGTGTGCTGTAGTCCATGGGTTCACAAAGAGTCGGACACAACTGAGCCACTGAACTGAACTGAATAAGTCATAGCAAAAAACAATAAAGCAAGGAATGCACATTAAAATGATGTATAACATAACCACATTTATTTAAGAATGTTTTACAGTATCAATTGGCAAAATTCAGCAATGCAAAACCATAATTACTTTTGCACCAACCCAACACATACAGTCCATCAGTTCCACTCCTGGGTATTCAAAAAAAGATATATGTACACCTATGTTTATTGCAGCATTGTTTACAATAGCCAAGATATGGAAGCAATCTAAGTACCAATTAATAGATGAATGGATAGGAAGTTGTGATAAATATAGATATGTAAAAAATAGATTATATTACTCAGCCATTAAAAAATAAAAAAGAATGAAATCTTGTCATTTCTGAGAACACAGCTGGACTTGGGTGTGTTATGCTAAATGAAACAAGTCAGAGAAAGACAAATACTGTATGATTTTACTTGTATTTGGAATCTAAAAAATGAAACAAATGAACAAACATAATAAAACAAAAGCAAGCTCACAGATATAGAGAACAGACAGGTGGTTGTCAGAGGAGGGGAGGTTGTGGAGAGGAGAGAAATAGGTGAAGGGGATTAACTCCCAACTGGTACAAACTCCCGATTACTGAATTGTTGTCGTTGTTCAGTCGCTTGGTAGTGTCCAGTTCTTTGTGATCCCAAGGACTGCAGCACACCAGTCTTCCCTGTCCTTCACCACCTCCCAGAGTTTGCTCAAACTCATGTCCATTGAACTGGTGAGGCCACCCAACCATCTCATCCTCCGTTGCCCCCTCCTCCTCCGCCCTCAATCTTTCCCAGCATCAGGGTCTTTTTAATTACAAAAGAAATGAGTCACGGGTATGAAATGTACATTGTGGGGATATATCAAGAATTATAATTTTAATATCTTTGTAAGGTGGCAAATGGCAGCTAGACTTATAATTTTGAAACGTACAGAAGTACTGAATTACTGTGGTGTGTACCAGGACCTCACACAGTGTTGCAGGTCAGTTATCCTGGAAAACAAACTCATAGAAAAAGAGCTCAGATTTTTGGTTACCAGAGGCAGGAGGTAAAGGAGAGGAAGTGGATAAAAGCAGTCAAAAGGTACAAACTTCCAGTTACAAGATAAGTACTTGAGATGTGATATACAACATGATAAATAAAATGAACACTTGTATACATTATATATGAAAACCGTTAAGAGAGTACATTCTGAGTTCTTATCACAAGGAACAATACCTTTTTCTGTTCTTTTAATTTTGTATCGGTATGATTTGAATGTTCACTAAACTATTATGCTGATCATTTCATGATGTATGTAAGTCAAGTCATTATTTTGAACATCTTAGACTTATATAGTGCTGTATGTTACCTATATCTCAACAAAACTGGAAGGAAAAAAGGGTATATACTGGAAAGTCTAAAGTAAAAGACAAAAACAACAAATACCACTTTATGCCTATTGACACTGACATTCACAAGTCGCTCAGTCACGTCCGACTCCTTGCGATCCTATGGCCTGTAGCCTACCAGGCTCCTCTGTCCATGGGATTTTCCTGGCAAGAATACTGGAGTGGGTTGCCATTTCCTTCTCCAAGGGATCTTCCTGACCCAGGGATCAAACCCAGGTATCCCACATTGTAGGCAGATGCTTTACCGTCTGAGCCACAAGGGAATCCCCTTTATGCCTGTAAGAATGGCTAAAAAGAGAATTGATAAATGTGAGGCAAGTGCAAGACGGCTGGGTGTCGTCATTAAAAGAAGTCCTTTGAATAACTGGAGGAATATGTGGTAGGCCTGGATATGGTACAGAGGTTTCAGATCTCTCCAGATTAATACAGTTTTGGTCAAAATACAATTGTGATCACCTATAAAATTAAAATAATAGTGGAGGTACTTTCAAAAAAGCAGAGGAATAACGGAGTGAAGGACCTTGGTCTACGAGATACTAAGTGGACTATCGTACAGTGGCAACTAACGCATCATAAATCAACTATGTTCCAATAAAAAATTAATTTAAAAAATAAATCATTGATTAAAATAGTGGCTTCGACACCACCAGATGAGGGGATTACTGTGGAAAGTCCAGAAAGCAAGCCTAACATTCATAAAAGCTCAAGTGATGATAGAGAACATTGAAATCCTTGTATTGGAATGGAGGACCAGCCAACTAGAAACAGAAGTTAAGCAATTCCTCATATTTGTATCTTAAGGTGAATCCCAAACAGATTAAAGACTTTAAGTGACCAAAAAAAGACTATCAGGAAAATGCAAGAAGTGTCTGTGAGCATACCTGTGATCCTAAAACGGATCACACCTTTCCAGGCAGAGCCTTCTTTTGTTCCTCTGCTGTGCTGTGCTTGGTCGCTTGGTTGCGTCCAACTCTTTGCAACCCCATGACCTGAATGCATAATAATAAAAATTTTCATGACAGCAGATAACCTAACTAGACAAAATTATCCACATTGTGTAAAGAGTACAACAGGTTACCTAGATAATAATGATGGTACCGCTGCTGAAGATAAGAAAAGGGACATACTCAAATTGGGAAAACGGATAAAATATGTACAGTTTTAATATTCCACATAGTTTTCATCTCAGAGAATATACGCATTTCTTTCTAAATAATCTTGGATGTGGGAAAAGTTTTATTTATAAGGATGTTTTATTTATAAGGATCCTTTACCAGTGGAAAAGGTTAAATGCAGTTACAATGTCCTACAGCGGGGATTAGGATGATTTCTATGGCTGCCTTAACACATTACCACAAACTGAGTGACTTAAAACAGTGGAAATGTATGGTCTGAAATCAAGGTGTTGGCAGGCCCGTTCCCTCTGACAGCCCTAGGGCAGGCCCTTCTTTATCTCTTCCAGCATCTGGAAGCCCTAGGCTTGTAGCCATGCCACCCAAATCTCTGTGTCTCCCTCATCACACACCCTTCTTTATGTGACTGCGCTTGGTCTTACAAAGACATCGGCCACTGAACTTGCCCCCACTTCCCTGCAATCCAGCATGACCTCATCTTAACTACATAAGTAACAGCCCTGTTCACAAATAAGGTCATATTCTGAAGTTCCATGTGAATGTGAATTTTTTGGGGGGAAAGTATTCGACCCAGTATAGATGATATAGAAGAATATATAAAGATATAGAGAAAGGTTTACCTTCATTGATAAAAAAAGGTGATAAACGCATCATGTATATAGATCTAGAAAAGCCTGAAAGGGTATTCAGTAAGTATTACCAGTGACTGTGAATCAGGGAAAGCTTGAATGGTTTTAGTTATGCCAATAAATTTCTGTATTTTCTAAATTTCTTGCAAGGAATATGTGTTTCTTTGATAAGGAAATATAATGAACCTTTCTAGTCTGTTTTCAAAATACAGGTTTAAGAATGATATCATATTCTTGGTTGCCACAGCTTTTGTCTAATGAGGTAAAAATATCTTAGAGTTTACAGAGTTCAAAGTACATTTTAAAATGTCATTTAAAACAAAGAATATTTCAAAGTTGAATAGTTCCCTATTATACAACAAATTTGTGTTTTTCCAAATTATAGATAATTTGAATTTGTGGGTTTAAAATTCTTATTTTAAGTGCATACTGTCCTTTGTGTTATTGGAATTTCCCTGACTCTATGAAATAGTTTGATTTTTCCTTCTATCTAGACACAGATGTTCTAGGTAGCACTGCTGAGATACTTGGAATGAACAATTGCTATGTTGTTTGTTGCTGTTTTTCTAGGCAAGGAATTGTTCCTTCAGGTCTCACAGAAAATGAATTATGGAGAGCAAAGTACATCTATGATTCAGCTTTTCATCCTGACACTGGTGAAAAGATGATTTTAATAGGAAGAATGTCAGCTCAAGTTCCAATGAACATGACCATCACAGGTTGCATGATGACATTTTATAGGTAAGTTCTGGCAATGTAACAACAGTTTGTTTTCTATTCCAGGAACTTAAAGCACATTTTTGTACTTGAATGGTTTTATTGAAATAAATGTCATTTCATGTGGCGTTTCATTTTGTATAAAAGTTACAATCCTAGGAGGTTGTTTTACCTTTTCCTTCTGTTGAATAGAACTCTCCTTGCTGCCCAAAAGGAGGTCGAATTTCTCCCTAAGTCTTAGACCCAAAAGAAAACGAGAAAGAAAGTTTAGAAAGCCTCTAAGCAGATTCTATTTGTAATTGATTCATATAATATAGGTGTAAATATATATGCAGGTGTAAACACCTAGGCTTATATGTGGAATGAGGAGGGATGAGAAATACTTAGCCTACAAATAGCTTCTTTATGTAAGAGAAGGGACCTGTTGTTAGTCACAGTAAGTGAGTGCCTACTCTTTGCTGGGCTCCGTTACAAGTTTAAGACAAAACTTAACTCCATCCTCACCTTAACCCAGCAATCCCCATGCTCCAGGATCTAATGCCTGATGATCTGAGGTGGAACTAATGTAATAATAATAGAAATAAAGTGTGCAATAAATGTGATGAGCTTGAATCATCCCGGAACCATTCCCCACTCCAGTCCGTAGAATTGTCTTCCGTGAAACCGGTCCCTGGTGCCATAAAGGTTAAGGACCACTGCCCTCGCCCTCTTAAGTTTGTTGCTCTCCGTAGTTAATGAATGAGGAAACTGAGAATCAGAGAGGATGAAAGTCTGCGCAGCTCCACTGGGCCTCAGCCTCTGACCCAGAGCATACAGCCCTGGGCCCGCAGCCCCCTGCTCCAGTCCGTCGCCTGTCTGGCTCCTGGCCTTCGCGTCGTCTGTTCCGCGTGACAGCCAGACCCCAGGCGGCGGTGGCATGATGGTCTCTCTATTCTAGGACCACACCAGCGGTGCTTTTCTGGCAGTGGATCAACCAGTCCTTCAATGCCGTGGTCAATTACACCAACAGAAGTGGAGATGCTCCCCTCACTGTCAAGTAAGACTGGAAGGTCTCGCCAGCCTCTGCATCCTTCTGGTGTCCATTTGATCCAGTGGTGTTGCCCTCCTGGTGAAAAAATATATTTGTACCAACTGTGTATATGGTTCGGAATCGTAGGGAGCCTGTGTCTCAGTAATGAGTCTTTTCCTCCCTCTCCATCTAGATGACAGTTTGCCGCAGCCTGCCTTCTCAGACATCACCCGTGCTGTGAGTGGCGCTGAAGGAAGGCAGGGCTCCCGCACCCGAGGGCACATCCCCTTCACCCCAGGAACACACAGCAGGCAGCTCAGGGCAGGCCTTGAGAAATGACCTGCTCTGTACCCCCATCCACCCTGTGGGTTACACAGAGAGCAACATCAGCAGCGGGGGTCTCTGCAGAAATCCGGGGGATTTTATATCCGATTTGTCTTAAAATAGGATGTCTCTGGAGCCCGAAGAAAGTGAATGGATTTAAAATTTTGTTTCCTGTGAAAAAATGTTCAGGCAAGCTAAAGTGATTAGTTAACCAAAATTTTGAGCCTAACTTATATAACATTTCAAAGAATTTTCGGTTTTGTTTTAACGCTTAAATTGAGTTTGATCACTTATATTCTTCTGTTATCATCCTAGGGAACAAAGAATATTGAAATCTGCAACCCAGCAGTGCTGATCGCACCTTCTCATCACCCGTGCTGTGAGTGGCGCTGAAGGAAGGCAGGGCTCCCGCACCCGAGGGCACATCCCCTTCACCCCAGGAACACACAGCAGGCAGCTCAGGGCAGGCCTTGAGAAATGACCTGCTCTGTACCCCCATCCACCCTGTGGGTTACACAGAGAGCAACATCAGCAGCGGGGGTCTCTGCAGAAATCCGGGGGATTTTATATCCGATTTGTCTTTAAAATAGGATGTCTCTGGAGCCCGAAGAAAGTGAATGGATTTAAAATTTTGCTTCCCGTGAAAAAATGTTCAGGCAAGCTAAAGTGATTAGTTAACCAAAATTTTGAGCCTAACTTACATAACATTTCAAAGAATTTTCGGTTTTGTTTAACTCTTAAATTGAGTTTGATCACTTATATTCTTCTGTTATCATCCTAGGGAACAAAGAATATTGAAATCTGCAACCCAGCAGTGCTGATCGCACCTTCATTTCATCCAATTCTTGAATTAAAATTTATTTAAAAATAATAGAGAACTGCTTGGGCTTACTTGTATTTTGAGGATAAGACTTTTAGTATCTTTATACAGTAAGATGTCATTTTAAGAATGGCTGCCCTGCATTTTTACTTTCAGTATGTATAGCGATATTTTGAGAAGTATTTTTTATTTAAGTCCATATGCTACAAACATCTAAGCTGACGTGCATTTCTCCACATTTGTAGCTTCGTGCCCAGTCACAGCTTCCTTCCTTCCCCTCCCCCAGACACACATACTGTGCATGTCTACATGTTCGGCTTGAGAATTCGGTTATATGTGAAGAATGCCATTTTTATATGGGTCTGCTTCATTTTTCTATGAATAGCTCTGCTGGCTGAGCTGAATATATCACTGATGAATCTTTTTTAAAATTCATTTTATTGGAATATGCTTGATTTACAGTGTTGTGTTCCTACTGTGCCACAAAGTGATGCGGTTAAAATTGCACATTCTTTTTCGTATTCTTCCCCGTCGTTGTCTGTCACAGGATGTTGAATGTAGTTCCCTGTTCTGTGCAGGAGAACACTGTTGTTTATCTGTTTTATATACAGTGGTTTGCGTCCGCTAAACCCAAACTCCCAGCCCCTCCCTCCCCACCCCTCTTCCGGCTTGGCCTCCGCAAGGCTGTTCTTGAGCCTGTTCCTGTTTCATCGGCAAGTTCATTTGTGTGGTGTTTGATGGAACCTCTGTTCTTAATCTTCTTCGTTTCTTCCCAGAGTGCTGGACTGGGGTTTCCTGACATACACTCGTTGTTTATGTACCGTTTTCCTTGTTTTCAGTGAGCTGGGAACAGCGTACGTTTCTGCAACAACGGGTGCTGTAGCAACAGCTCTAGGACTCAACGCGTTAACCAAGGTACTCAGGTTTTTGTCTCCGTGTAAAGCGTCTTAATTTGTTCTCACCTACCTGGCTCTCAGTCTCTGTTATTTCTCAAAATAGTTCAAGTCTGATGACTTTCTTATTATAGTCGTCATCTTCAACTGTTTTTTTTTTTTATTTTTTTGTCACTAATAACATTTGCCAAGACACTTGTTTCTACCTGACACTGTGTATTAAGTGCTAAATGCTTCCCCACCACTCACCACCAAGGCTGGGCGCTGGGCAGGGTGCCTCAGGCACACCTCTGAAGAGGTGGAGGAGTCAGCATCTAAACCCAAGACTTGGGCCTTCAAAACCCCTACTCACTCAGCCACATGCAGCCACCAAAATATCATGCGTGTCCTCCTGGTCCCAGGATGCCAGGCTGGCAGTAGGAGAATAACCTCTAGGAACCAAGTTTTGAGCACACTTATGGCCTGCGTTTCTGTACAAGTAGGGCTTTGCGTTGGTAATGGCTTTTGAGAAGAAATAAGTGTTAATGCAGTACTGTAGAAAAAATAAGATCTTGCTTTTGGAATTATCTTTTCTGCAGCATGTCTCTCCGCTCATAGGACGTTTTGTTCCCTTCGCTGCGGTAGCTGCGGCCAATTGCATTAATATTCCGTTAATGAGGCAAAGGTAAGGTTAATATGCCCTCCTAGAGAGGGCTTGTGCTTGACAGTAGGAGCTCTTTTAATAAATTGCTTTGTTGAAACTTTAAAAACTTTTATTTTAATATTTACAGGTGAAATTATATGAGATTTGCTTCCATATAATCTGGTAACGGAGTGAGGATGGGTTCATTGATGAAACAGGGTCAGCTCTGAGTTGCTGATTATTAAAGGGGACTGATGAGCGTATGGGATTTGGACTTATCTTTCTACTTCTGTATGATACAAAGTTTAAAAAAATAGATCTCAGACTTATGTCTGTGCCCAGAAAGCTTATTCTGTAAAACAGGTTCTTCCCCCACCCAGATTTCCTTTTAGGGTTTAAGATAATATTAATCTGTATCTTTGGAAGTATTTTTTAGTACTGGCAAAAATTAAAGGAAAGGAAGAATGAAAAAAAAAAGCATTTTGGAATGGATAACGAAAACCAGGGTAACAGAGGAGCTGTGATTTAGCATTAGTGACCATAGTTAAATATTCTGTAGTGCTTGTACTGGCGGCTGGCTGCCGCATCAGTGTAGTTAGTTTACTTAATGATCCTGTGAATTGTATCTCTCTCATTTTTTCAGAAATTCAGGCAAGGCTTCATTGTTAGGGCAGATCCTGGAGAAAAGATACAAAGAGACCAAAAAAGCCAGCTCCCACTTTTGAAGAGCCTGGAGCAAAAGCAGGGGACGTCTGGCGGCCCCTGCACAGGCAACCTAAGGACTGGGCAGAATGCCTAAGCCACCGCCCTGCTGGACCCCTGGACACCTCCCCTACCCTCACCCCATATGAGGAGCAAGCTGGCCCCCAACCGAGGGAGCTAGCAAGCCCCTAGGGAGCCAGCAGGCTAGAAAAGGGAGCTGGGAGCTGGTACTTGCTTTCACTCCTGCTGCTGCCCAATTAAGCCTTGCCTGAATTTCTTTAAGTTACCTATTCATCCTTTGAGTTCTATTGTTATTCAAAATGCTACTTTTTTTTTTTTTTACAAAGATTGCTAGTGTTGTTTCCTTTTTGTATCTATCCCACAAGGATTAAGCTTGTTCACGGCATTTAAAAATAAGGCTTATTAGGGCCAAAAATGACTCTGGAGTGCATTTTTGGATTAAGTAGGGACTTGATCTTTCACAGCCTAAGTACTGTTTTCCAGCTGTTCCATGAACCGCCTGTGTATGAACTTTGCACGTGTCTTGCTCTCCAGGGAACTCAAAGTTGGCATTCCTGTCACAGATGAGAATGGGAACCGCCTGGGCGAGTCAGCAAATGCTGCCAAACAAGCTATCACGCAAGTAGTTGTCTCCAGGATCCTGATGGCAGCCCCTGGCATGGGTGAGGAGAACCTTGGCATCTGTTCATGTACTTGGCACGTCTTGCTTGAACAAGCGTTGGTGTGCCAGTGAGCACCAACCATGAAGGATCCCTCCCTGAGGCGGCATCTGGCGGGGGAGGCAGAAAACTGGCCACATAAGTCAACTGTGTAATCTGCGAGATGGTTATCAGGGCTCAGTGGATACCGAGGGTGGGGATCTCAGAATGGAGGTGTTATCAAACACAGGTCTGTGTGTACAGTGAGGCCACACAACAGCAAAGGACGGAGTCTGGAGAGGAGAAAGACCTACTGCAGGGCTGGGCGCGGGCAACAGCGGCTCAGGCCCCTAAAACCCCAACGCGTTGAAAAGCAAAGCGTTTTGAAAGGCCACACGGCGGGGAGGGGTGCCGCGGGGCGTGTGGCTGGCTCCCGCACAGTTCCCGGATGGGTTGATGGTGGGGTAGCAAGGGGGTGAGCAGCTTCAGTCCTTAGGTGCCGGCCAGCCTGGGGCTGTGTGCTGATGATCATCCTGAGATACTGTTACCTGGGTGCTTCCGAGAGGAGCTGCAGAGGATGTAGGGACTGGGTCTGTCCCAGGAAGACCCCAGAGGTCCTGCCCGGTGACAGAAGTGGATTGGGCAGATAAGGGGGAGGGTGGTTCCAGCGATGCATCTTCTGGGGCAGATGGAGCAGCAAGCGATGGCTGAGGCACGCCTGGTGCTTGGAAGCACCACAGGGCCGCGTGGGGAGAGAGAAGGGGGTTAGGGGCAGCAGACAGGGCAGCCGGGCTGACACACGGATGGCTCTGTAGGCATTTGGAGTCCTGGCTTTAATCCGAGGGGTGGGAGGCCGTGCAGGGTTTTGAGCAGGGAAGCAGTGGTAATAACCCAACTCGGGCTTTGCCTGCATGACTCTGGGTGCCGTGGTGAGAGTCAGCTGAAGAGGAGCCAAGACTGGTGATTGGAGACTGGTCAGGGTGGTGGATGGACCGGGGCAGCTGACAGTATGGGGGATGAGAATTTGAAGAGAAAGAATTTGGTCTTTATCAATCTTGACACGAAATTTCCAACAGTTTTTGAATAAGAATATTTTATACTGAGAATTTATTTGTATCAATTGGAAACCATTGGAACACAAACCAAGTTGGGTTAATTCCAACAACTATGAGTAAAATGGCTGCCAGTATGGACTCAGTTTTGTCCATTAGACTTGGACTCAGCATGACAAAATGCAGAAGATCTCTGTTGTGACTTAGTTCCCCGGAGAATCTCTGATCTACTCCTAAAGCTTCTTCAGCTACACTCAGACCAGGACTCTCAAGAAGGTTCTGAGAAACCAGAGGGCCCAAGAGTATGTTACTCTTTAAAGAAAAAAAAAAAAGAAATGAGTATCTTCGATTTCCTTGTCTAAATTGAATGCAGACAGCCCTTGGCCATTTACTAAGCCCTCAAAGGAAGCATAATTGATTGCTGTCACATTTCCCCAGGGATATTTGTTTGTTATCTTTAAATTCCTTTTGTCACTGAGAATGCTCATCAGCATTCCTCACAAGTAGGAGTGAGCAAACAAAAGAAAACTTTCTTCCATTCCAACTACTGGCACTCCAGCTAATTGGTTTTCTGATTAAAAAGCAGAAACATTACTTTGCTGACAAAGGTCCCTCTAGTCAAAGCTATGGTTTTTCCAATAGTCATGTATGGATGTGAGAGCTGGACCATAAAGAAAGCTGAACACCAAAGGATTGATGCTTTTGAACTGTGGTTTGGAGAAGACTCTTGAGAGTCCCTTGGACTGCAAGGAGATCCAACCAGTCCATCCTAAAAGAAATCAGTCCCAGATATTTATTGGAAGAACTGATGCTGAAGCTGAAACTCCAATACTTTGGTCATCTGATGTGAAGAGCTGCCTCATTGGAAAAGACCCTGATGCTGGGAAAGATTGAGGGCAGGAGGAGAAGGGGACGACAGAGGATGAGATGGTTGGATGGCATCACCGACTCAATGGCTATCAGTTTGAGCAAGCTCTGGGAGTTGGTGATGGACAGGGAGGCCTGGCATGCTGCAGTCCATGGGGTCGCAGAGTCAGACACGACTGAACTGAACTGGACTAATTAGCCACCGTTAAGTGATTTAACAAAGACATCCTCGTGCGACAGTGGTGTGCACTGTAGGGGTGGGTGAACTGAGGAAACCACAGTCATGAAATGTAGGCCCAGGGTCCGCTGAGTCAGGGGCCAGCATGTTGTCACTGACCTGCGAGGAGGTGGGGAGGCCACCTGGCACACCTGCTGAGCCCAGGTCTCCAGATTTTATGAGACCGAGGTGGGCCACTCCAGCTTCTACACTGGGTAGGCTTTTAGTTTTGCTCTTTCCCATTTTGAAATACAAGGCTCCTCTTTGGAGTTCAGTCATCCCAACAGATTTGTTTTCACTGGCTTGGTTATCTTAAACATTATTTAGTCCCAGGAGAAGAGACAGTCTTTCTAACCCAGCGACATCTCTAAAGGTAATTGACGTATTGAAATTGCTGTGACAGTTTAGTCTGATGGATAGTTTCGTCTGAATCATGAGTAAATGAACTATGATATCTGATGTTTTACATGCATCATTGCAGCTTATCGTCCTGGCTAGTTCGATACAGTTATCCCTATTATATAGATGAGGAAAACAGAAAACGAGGCTCAGAGCAGTGAGTTAACTTTCTCTGGATCACCCAGCTAACAGGTGGTCTGTGTGACTCAAGGCAGGAATTTTTCTACTGTACTCCACAAGGATGGACATCCAGGGAAGCCTGCATTTGTATCATTGGTACAGGAGGGGAAAGTTGTTGATGTTTGCATTGTTGCATATTTAATGTTAAAGTTCTCTTCAAGATCACAAAATTTTCTAGCTGGCATAGAGTGTTGTGTTATTTTTCAAAACTTTAACGAATGGAAACAGTGGGAGTGTTTTTAATGCTAAGATTTTTTTTTTTTCTTTTCCATTTATTTTTATTAGTTGGAGGCTAATTACTTTACAGCATTGCAGTGGTTTTTGTCATACATTGAAATGAATTAAGCATGGATTTACATGTATTCCCCATCCCAGTCTCCCCTCCCACCTCCCTCTCCACCCCATCCCTCTGGGTCTTCCCAGTGCACCAGGCCTGAGCACTTGTCTTATGCATCCTACCTGGGCTGGTGATCTGTTTCACCCTAGATATACATGTTTCGATGCTGTTCTAATGCTAAGATATTTTAAAGAATGTTGCAATTGCTTTTACTCTGCCAGTGTGAAACTAGTCTGCAAGTAATATAAGCCTTTCGTGAAATTCTTGAGGGAAAAAAAAAAAAACGTGAGCTGAAAATAGACATTAACCAAGATTTAAGCGGGTCTGTCTTTTCTTCCAGCCATCCCTCCATTTATCATGAATACTCTGGAAAAGAAAGCCTTTCTCAAGGTAAGCCCTAGTTCTGTTTATCCTTGTCTCAATCCTTACAATTTGTCTGCAGACCTCAAACTATACAGACTTGTTTCCCACGTGGATAGTGAGTAAAGAATTTGAGGGCCAGTGGCAGTTGGACACTTGATGGAATATTTTATTTCTAATAAATATTTGAAAAAGCTCTCATAAATCTTTCGTTTGTTGCATGCTGCCACTCTTGCACGGCCATAGCCCAAGGACACGCTTATCTTAGTTATCAGTCAGGTCCCTCGCTGAGTAATCATGAAGAGAGGGTATGAATTTGGAATGATTTGTTTGTAAGTCCCTGAACACACTATCTGAAAAGAAAGAATAATTGTGAGTAGTAGCTTCACAGAATACTGAATTAGTGCCTAGATGTATTTTCCTGTGGTAATCATCTCTAATAATCCATTTATCTGCCAACCACCTCCCCTCAGGGTCTGAAAATATTCCGGGGTGAAACTGTAACTGAGAAACCGCAGTGCATTGTCTGCATTCTTGCGGTCTCCACGACTCAGACGCAGCTGTATTTATGCTTCACCTTAGCTGTCCGGTTTCTTGTAACAACTAGGAAAGAGGGGATGGGGTAACTCCTCTGGCTCCTGCTGTAACGGTGTCAGTATTGCTGACACCATTACCCCTGCCAGAGGAGGAACCATCCCGTTCCTGGCTGGGGGAGCAGCTGTGTTGTAAACACTGCAGCTCTCTCAGGGTGAACTGCTTTGGGTTTTAGCGACAGAACCGTCACATCGAGAGAACTACCAGACTTTGAAAGAAGGACATGGTTCATAGACCTGACGCTTTCTGAATGATTTCTGTGATTAGGAAAATTCTAAATGTCCGACAGATCAGTTACCTGTATTCACCCTATGGGCTCCAGAGGGGAAAATTAAGGCCAACACCAAATACTTTCAATACAATCACATTCTCAGACAATAAGCCAAGAAAGTATGCTTTGTAAAAACAATAGTATTGAGTGCCTCATTTGACTGGCATGTCAGTTGTACCAGTCCCCTGTTAGAACAAGAAGGAGGGCCCCCTCCTCGGCAGTCCGCTCATCCTCTCCCGGGAGCTCCGGAGCTTCTTCCCCTAGCAGTCTCACGCTGCGGTGTGAGTGGTGTAATGGGGTGTCGCACTGTCTCCGTAGTGATCGAGCTATTCTCCTCGGAGCATCCCGGGCGACCCACAGACCCCTGGACCGCCCCCAGGAGGCAGCTTTCTCACCTGCCTTCTGAGTCTCCATCCATCTCCTGGTGGACTTCTGCAGTCTTAATTGTAAGATTAAACAAAAATGTAAGACAGTTTCACTGATTTAACCAGTAAAGCTGTTAGTGAAGACCAAAATGTGAAGGTGACCTCATTTGACATCTTACCTACTTTGATAAGCTCTTACTTGAGGATTCATGGAAAGGCTTTGCTGAAGTCTCTTTCCTCTGCAGAATTTAGAAACGATGAATTCTTCAAAGCTGCTCAGGGATTAGTGTGTGTGCTGGAACAGGGACTAGATCTTGAAGCTGCCATATTATGTAAACAGATGAACTCTTTAAAGCTGCCAAGGAATTAGTATATGTACTAGAACGGTGACTAGATCTGAAAACTACTAAATTATGTAAACATCTAAAACTCACCAACTTTGATGTCTCCGTGATTTTCAGATAATCTTAAAAAAAAAAATTGATGCTCCTTTATCTATCCCTGCTTTCCTTATGGGAAGTGATTTAGGCTTTGAAGGAGAAAACCCATCAAATGAACTTAGAGAGGGGCCATCAGCATTATCCTTCAGGATGCTAGTAGGAAGTGGAACATCCAGTGGCTCCTTAACTTTATAGATAACGGAATTATACACTGTGTCCTTCACTGCTAACTCTTGATCTGATAAGACGTTAGGATTATAGTCCTTCTGCAAGGGCATATGTTGACCCAGGCAACGTTTTTATTTTCCTGATTGTTAATTTATTAAGGTATTGACATGCCAACTTCAGGGGCAACAGAGAATCAAAGAACATATTTAATAAATCCAACCTCCCCCTCCTGCAGACTTTAAGCAAAATCAGACTTTTAAAGCAAGATCAGATTTCCAAGTAGATACAAGGCTTGGAGACAGTCATCTCATCCTGTTTGTCTGGCATAAAAGTAAACTTTTGCAGGAGAGGAATACTAAGTGTGGGTCATTCCACCAATAGTATATGACTGTCATGAATCAGCAACTGTGAATGCAGTGGGGAGACCACCTTCAGTGGCAGTGTCCCCACCATCAAAGCTTTCCCCAGTCCTTTCTCTCTGCCTCTCCAACACCACCCAGCACCCAATTAGCAGAGGGGTGTCAGCAGCCCGACTCTGCAGTGAGGCTCCAAATCTGGCCATTTGCCACTGCTGCTGGGACATTACTCTCTGGCCATCTCACTCCTGACTGTGGGTATTGAGCACCCATGGGTGCTCATGTGCGCTTGGGATTCCAGAAATTCTGAGAGAGTCTGCATGCAGACCTACATTCATGCTGAAGTTAGGTCACCAGAGAAGACAGTGACGTGAACTTGGTCCTTTCTCCTGACTGTCATGCCCTTGAACTCCTGGGGCCTCAGTGTTGTTGCAAAGTTGGAGCCGTTACTCTAGTATCTTGGTAACAGACGCTGGCCAGGAGACAGTGTTGGGCATATTGCATCGTTTTCCTGCTGGGACAGACAGAAATGGCTACAGATAGAGCCTGGCATGTTCTTCCATGAAGCAGCCAGCAAATGATGCAAGCAGTTAGCCCTACTCCCACGTGGCCCTAGGGTCTTTCACAGGGAAAATGAGTAACTGTTGTGTTTGTCTCCCTTGTCCTTCCTCTGTGGGTTGTGGTTTTCAGCTTGCTTGGTGCTGTGCCCTTCAACAATAATTTGGAGGTGGGCTGCCTTGCTTCCCCTCTGCCTGCCCCACTTTCCCCCTGCAGGCCTCACACTGGGCCGGAGGAGGCTGCTGGCATCAGAAGCCATGGGGTGGTGAGGGCAGGCGGTCAGAGCGGATCATGGATCCGTCCAAGGGCCTCACTAGCTGTCAGGGTCTGGCTGCTGCTCAGCTGGTTCAGACCTCTGTGGAGAATGATGCTTTGGAAAAACTATGGCTAAATGTTGAGCTCCTCAGACATACATCCCACTCCCACATTCAGGGTTGTTGTTGCATCAGAATACTGCATTTTTGCCCACGTAGCAAGGACTGTAGGACTTCACTGAGAGTGTGGCCGTTGTGAATGCAGAGGTGGAAGCAGCTTATATTTGTGTCCATACATTTCCGTCTGCAGAGCACTTTCACACGCTATTCGGAAAGGGAGGCTTTTCTGAGCCCCTTTTACAAAGGCTCAGAGATCGTTTCTCCAGCCGTGCATCATGCCCACATGGGTGGCTGCGTCTGCCGGGGTCGGGTGGCCCTCTGCTCCCACAACTCCAGCAGGCAGATGTGCCTCCCTGCAAGGAGGTACTTCTTGGGGCTTTCACCTTGGATGTGACCAAACTCCTCTGCAAACATGAAAGGAATTGAATGTTCTTGGCTTTTTAAACGGTGAGCTTGGGGAGCATTCGGCGTGACTCATCCTCCCCCCACGCCCTGTCTTTTTCCAAACGGAGTGTTAGCAAAAAGCATCAGCTGTGGGCAGGTGACTCACCGAAATCTCTGCAGTAAACCAAAAGTTCACTGCTTAAAAGCTGGTGCTTTACCCAACAGTTTTCTTGAAGAATAGCTCCTGTGGTCTCTTTACCTTGCTGGCACTTTTCATTAAGAACAAAGTTGATATGAATTGGGTCAGATAAGAACTCCTCATTCCTGAAGTTCTTGTTCATTTATATTTTCTTTAATGAAGGTGGACGGCTCTGTCTACTCCGTTGATTTTCAGAGTTGTCTGCTAATGGAGTGTGAATGTAGCATTTATTTGTCAATTCATTTGATGCAGCAGGCCTTGGGTGAATGCCTGTTGCACGCCAAGCAATGTGCTGGGTGCCATTATCATAGGAATAAGGCTTGGGCTCTGCTCTCAGGACCATCCGGTGTGGTGGTGGGGAGGGCACTGGGTACATGGTTCCCATACATGGTGAACAAGAGTGTGGGGCTTGGAGGGGGCCTAGGGGAGTTTCTCCCCCAGCTGCAGCAGGTGAGCGGAGACCCCTGCAGATGACAGGCACTGCAGAGTTGGGAGGGAGGCCTGTGTCTGGTCAGGTTGCCTGGGCTGTGGGCTGTGTGTAGGGAATTGATGGCGTACATACATATACATATCAGCCCCCAGTGGTTCATGGAATCTAAGTGTAAAAGTCTACAGTTGTCATACTTCTAGAAGAAAATAGAACATCTTTGAGATCTGGAGTTAAGCAAAGATTTCTTAGACTTAACACCAAAAGCACAGTCCGTAAAAGAAAAAATGGACAAATTGGGCTTCATCAAAATGTTAAAATTCTGTTTTTTGAATGCTATAAAGAGAATGAAAAGACAGGGAACAGACTGGAGAAAATTTATGCAAAGTATGTGTCTGATAAAGGACTTGTATCCAAAAGATACACTTATTCAGGAAAACAACTCTATTTTTTTAAAGGGCAAAAGGTTTGAACAGATATTTCACCAAATATACATAGCTATCAAGTAATATCACATGTAAAAATGCTTAGTATCTTTAGTCACTGGGGAAATTCAGGTTAAAAACCACATTGGCTACCTCTAAATACCTATTATTAGAATGGCTAAAATTAAAAAGACTGACAATAATAAGTGTTGGCAAGGATGTAGATAGAGGACCTGAAACTCTTATTCCCTACCGGTGGGAATGTAAAAGATAAGACCACTTTGTTGTTCTTGTTCACTCTCTGTTGTGTCCAGCCCTTTGCAACCCTGGGGACTGTAGCACACCAAGGTTTCCTGTCCTTCACTGTCTCCTGGAGTTAGCTCATACCCATGTCCATTGAGTCAGTGATGCCATCCAACCATCTCATCCTCTGCCACCCTCTTCTCCTCCTGCCCTCAATCTTTCGCAGCATCAGGGTCTTTTCCAGTGAGTCAGCTCTTTGCATCAGGTGGCCAAAGTATTGGAACTTCAGCTTCAGCATCAGTCCAATGAATGAATATTCAAGGTTGATTTCTGATAAGATTGACTGGTTTGATCTCCTTACAATCCAAGGAACTCTGAAGAATCTCTGGAGAATAGTTTGGCAGTTTCTTAAGTTAAGCGTATGCTTACCATGCAGTCCAGCCATTTCACTCCTAAGTATTTACCTGGAAGAAATGAAAATGTATGTCCATAAAGGGCAAGTATTCAAAGAAGCTTTATTTGCACTAGCCCAAAACTGGAAACAGTCCAAATGTTCATAAACAGGAAAATGGATTATCAAATTCCATTCACTCAATGGAATACCTAACCCAGCAATAAAAAGTCCTGAACCATGCGTATATACAACAGCATGAGTGAATCTCAAAATAATTATACAAAAGAGTAGATACTGTATATAAAGTCCTAGAAATCATAAACTAGTATATAATGACAGAAAGTAGATCAGAGGTGGCCAGAGAATGGGTATAGGGTTTAGGAAAGATGGTGGAATGGCCAAGGGCACAAGAAACAAGGATGATAGCTACTAATATTTAATTATCTTGATTGTGGCAATGGCCTCACAGCTGAATACATGTCAAAACTTCTGCACGGTCAGTATGTGCACTTGACTGTATTTCATATACAGTATGAAGTAAAGAGTAAAGATCATTGGAAAGAGAAAGAATTTACTCATACTAACTTTTTGAGCTTTTACATCATTGAATATGTATATTTTTAAACTTTTGATTACTATCTTTAATTCATTTAAAATATCCTGTTTCCACAATTCTGTGCTATGTCCCTCCCTCAAGTTCTGTGATTATTTAGGGGAAAACCAAACATCCTCAGCTCACTTTTAAAATCTCAGACCAAGTTCTGTTTGAAGTAGGGATGAATGAGGGGGGAGGGGGCGCTGGAAAGGAGTTGGGAGCGAGGATGACATCCAAGCTGAGCTTTGTGGGAGAGATCACAATTACCCAGCATCCTTGTGGTTACTGAGAACCCTTTCAACAAAACCCTGTGGACGTGCACCCACCAGCCTTTGGTCTGTGCACGCCTGTTGTTGAGATCACACCCAGCTCTTCAAGAGTCCACTTGAGAAGCAGAGGCTGCTCTTGTGGGCTCTCGTGGGCCTGTCTTCCAGCAAGATCTTATTCAGTTCTTAGCTTGCCTTCCCATCTCCAAGTCTGTGCTCCCAGACTGATGAAAGAAGGAATGCTAGGAAGACGATTTCCCATCTCCTTATGAAAATCCTGCAGCATCAGTTGGAGCCAGCTGCCCCAGATGCAGTGTTTCCTTCTACTGCCATCCCTTGAGGGGCGGGGCCCGTCTGCGCGAGCTCTATGGGCCTGTCTCTGCTTGCTGACATCTCTCCCTTTCTCTCCCTTAACCCACGGGATGTACCTTTTCACCAGAGGAGCCTTCTCGGAGACCAGGGTACGCCTCGCACACAACCCCCTGGGGATCCTGGTCTTTTAATTAACCGCTCGTATTAACTCTTGCTGATTTCATTACAACTAGTTGGCAAGTTGGTGGCAGCTTTTTCAGTGGCCTTACTTATATAATCTATGTATCTCGTTGCTCTTTATATTGCATATTATGCTTTTGTAAAATTCCCTTTTGAAAACTAAAAATCTAATAGCACTTACTCTCCGAAATACCAACCAACTCACTCATTTCCATTAGTGAAAAAGTGGCAGCCAAGAATTTGTTACGCCAGCAGTTATTTTAACCTTACTGACAGCAACTAAAACCGAGAAAGGAGGGGCGCGGGGTTGGGGGCGGGGCAGCAATGCCTTTTGGATTTCTGAACATTCCAGGCACAGCGCTAGGTGCTTGATAAATGTTATCTGGTGTATCTTCACGCACAGGCTTTTAGGAAGCTGTTGGGATCTTCATTCTACAGAGAAGGAACCAGAGCTTAGGCTGGGTGGACTCTGCCTCCCTTTCCCCACAGTGGGGGCGAACTGGAAGGGCAGAGATCTGAATACAGGTTTGTTAGTCTTCCGGATTTGGAGCCACACTCCTCCCCAGCCGGGAGACAAATTATAGCTAAGCGAGAACAGTTTCTCCAGCTCCCATTTACAAGCAGGCATCTCTCTGATTCTAAACGCAAGGGAGGAATGTGAGAAGTCGCCTGCCCCTTGCACGTGCACCGTGGCGAGGCCGCCAAGAGCTGCGGGAAGTCAGGACTAACGTGCCGTTGCAGTGGTACCCCCACACCTTGCTAATCGCATCCCAGCTGGATCTGTAATGCGGCCACGCTCCTTCCAATTAACCGGCAGAAAAAACTGTCTCTGAGAGCCTGTATAAGTATTCAAAACCGTTTATTTCTCTACCCAGAGGTTCCCATGGATGAGCGCACCTGTTCAAGTTGGAATAGTTGGCTTTTGGTGAGTAGAATTACTTCAATGTCATTCTTTTCTTTTTTTTAAGATTAATATACAGCATATGAAAGTGAAGGCTAATATGGGACATGCATTTTGAAAACTGAGACCAGTCATTAGCTAGAAAGAAACTGTCTTTAGAGAAACCTGCAACATTTGGGGCTATTTGTGTGATTCTTTTTTAAAACTCCTTTTATCTCTTTGATTTTTTTTTTTTAATTACTTTGGCAGACCTTAGTAGTAAAGTTACACAAACAGGACATATTTTTGTGTTGGCAGTATAATACTCAAAAGAAAGAATGGGGATTGTTATCAAAGTAAAATAGAAAAGAATCTGAAAACTAGACCATTTCTAAAACGCTCTGATGTGTCTGTTCCGTTCTTTTTAAGCTTGGTATTTGCCACACCTCTGTGCTGTGCTCTGTTCCCTCAGAAAAGGTATGTATTTGTTGCTCTTCAGAACAATCATATGTTTTAACCCTAAAAACTAGTTGAAGACACAGGTTCATTTCACTAGGAGGAAAGTTGAGTCTCAAAAAGATAATGAAGCTGAGTCTCTAAAAGGAAGAGATAGAGGCAGAAATTAAATGCACATCTATTTAATATCAAAACTCTCTTTGCCCAGCTCTTTGCTACCTGCTATGATTACATTTGAAAATGCTTTATTCTTGTGTAAGACCCAGGTTAATTCTGGTGCAAATTTGCTTTTATAAACATTTAAATATGATTCACTGATGTCCAGTCCATTGACTAAGCAGAAATATTAGAATTTAAGTTCTACCCCCAGGGAGAGCAACTGTATGCACTTAACTTTGGCAGTTGGTATTTTGGCTTTCCTTCTTCCTACTTGAGTTGTTTTGTTTTTTTTTTTTCTTTTTGCTTTAAAAGCCTTACTGTGCATGTCTTTTATCACAAGTTGCCCTTGAATCCTGCCTTTGATGTAAAAACTGGATTAACTGGCATTAAATCAGCATCACATACATCTGAGGCTTCAGCCTTTTTCTCGTCTAATGTCAAGGTGGAGGGGCAGCATTCTGCTGTTTTGCTGTGATTTCTGTTACCAGTCCTGCCTTTATCATGTTCTTCATGGGGCAACAGGCCCCACACAGATGGCCTTTAATGCCCTAGGCTTTCCAGTAGCTTTGGGATGCGGTAGTCTCTTCTAGAACTGACTTCATCAGGTCCCCCTATCTGATAGAGACATCTGTCTTTTATCTGGCCTTTCACTTCTGTCTTTGACCCCCACTGTTGTTAGCTGGGGAGTTAAATTTCAAGGAGAGGGAACCTTTATCAACTTGACGCCCATAGTTAAGCCCCCCTTGGAGAGGGCAGGAGCTTCAGAACCTGTTGTGAAGCCCGATACAGATGAATTTCCTCAAGAGGAGCGCTGTTTAATTGTGCGAACCCCAGAATCTCAGGGCTTCAGGTAAGAACGGTTTGTTTCCTTAGTGTAGGCCCTGGAATATCTGTGTTCAGCGCTTGACCTTGCACTCGGTGACTTAGGAGCGTGGCATTTGGGTCAAGAAGGATCTGACTTCAAATCTCAGCTGCACCTCTAGTTTCCTTATCTATAAAATTAAGATCATACTGACTTTCCAAGGTTTTATAAGGGTTAAAAACACATAATACCTGAACCCAAAATTGAGCATTAAGTCATAGCCATTATCATTGCCGTTAGCAACATTATTTTAAAATTACCCAAGGTCTCCCTATATAAGGAAAAAAGCCACTGTGCTTTTTTCTATAGTCATAATTTTTCTTTTTTTGCATTATGTCTATAAATATATATCCTATCTTTTTACCTCTTAGTTTACCATGTCTCAACTATGGTGGTGGTGGTTTAGTCACTAAGTCCTGTTTGAATCTTGCTACCCCATGGACCGTAGCCTGCCAGGCTCCTCCGTCCATGGGATTTTTCAGGCAAGAATGCTGGAGTGGGTTGCCATTTTCTTCTCCAGGGGATCTTCCTAACCCAGAAATCTCCATTGCAGATGGATTCTTTACTGACTGAGCCACCAGGAAAGCCCACTCAAGAACAATTGTTTAGAAACTAATTACTAGTGTTACCAAACCCAAGGTCAGCTGCTTGCAGCTCCGAAGCCAGTAATTCAAGACACAAGTGTCAGTAGAAAGGAAAGATGCTTTAATCAGGGAGAAGGTGGACTCATGTCTAGAAACCAACTCCAAAGATTTTGCTCAGTTGTGACAATTTTTTTTTTCCCATGTAATACCTTTTATTTAAAAAAAAAAAAAAACTTTTAATTTTTGTATTGGAGTGTAGCCAGTTAACAAAGTTGTAACAGTTTCAGGTGAAGAGCAAAGGGACTCAGCCATAAGCATACATGTATCCATTCTCTCCCAAACTGCCCTCCCATCCAGGCTGCCACATAACTTTGAGCAGAGTTCCCTATGCTACACAGTAAGACCTTGTTGGTTATCCATTTTAAATATAGCAGAGTGTACGTGTCCATCCCAAACTCCCTAACTATCCCTTCTCCCCATATTTCCCCCAGCAACCTAGGCTTGTTCTCTAAGTCTATGAGTCTGCTCCCATTTTTTAAGCAAGTTCATTTGTATCGTTTCTTTTTAGATTCCACATATAAGGGATGTCATACCATATTTCTCCTTCTCTGTTAATCATGACAATTTTTAAAGGAAAAAAAAGGAGGGGAAAGAACCTCAGTGAACCACCAACTCTGTCTTCAAATGTTGTCTTGCTCGAATGATCTGCCTGCAGATTGCTTGGCAAGGGGCAGAGTAGAGGGTGGGTGTTGGGGATAGAGAGCTCGTCGTTTTTTTAACTGCTTACTTCTTCATTCTTCTGTCTATCTATCTAGGAAAAGAACAGGTTATTCAGGAGTTAGGCTAAACTGCCTGGTGATCTCATTCCTATAATTAGTTTCTTTTAAGATTAGAGGGGAACCGAAATGGGCAAATAAGAAAGGGGCAAGTGAGCTTTCCATAACATGCTTTCCATAACAGTCAACAGTCTTGCTGGCCAGTTTTTCTTCATCCTCTTATATATTAAGTATGCATTCTTAATGGAAAATGAGCTGTAATACATATGCACATATGAAACATTCGGGTACATTTTTTACATGCACAAAGCAAAGACTCACAGGAGTCCTCAGTAGTGTGACTACAAGAGATGTTTCTTCTCATATATTTTCATATTTTCTAAAAGTTTCAGAATATATATCACTATACAGTGGACAGAAGCACAGTAATGCAAGTGAATTTTTAGTGCTAAAAATTCCACTGAATGCATGTATCTTTTTCTCATGAATGGTGAACATTTATGTTGTTTTTCTTGGGAAGTGTCCTGACCACAGATTATTTTCCGATACATCAGGGTCTGAGAGTGTCATTACCATACCGCCTTGCCAGCAGTAAGTGGGTTTTAAGGCTTTTAGTAAGATGAGAGATTAAAAAGGGATCTGATGGTGGCTTTCTTTCTGATTTAGTGATGGTTTTCTGGAACATGAAGCATTTTTCAAACAGGGCTCTTGCACCAGTCATGGGGGTGAACAGGGGTCCTCCCTTTCCTCTCCTCAGGTTCGAATTTCCACCTCCGTCCCTGGGATGACCCTGTCGTTTTCTCCCTTCTCCTAGTTCCATGTCTGTGACAAGCTTGGAGGCCGAGCTGCAAGCCAGGATCCGAGAGACCCACCCTGAACTACGGCGTGTGTACTTTAACAAGGGGCTATAAAGCAGGTTAAGAAGCGTCTTCAGAGGAGCCTGCCAGCCGCGAGCCTGGTGCAGCCGAGTTGGAGAGGCGAAGCCTGGGCGGCCGGGTTCTCTCGGGGACAGAAACCTGTTAAAGACCCATAGAAGCCTTTAGAGTCCAGCTGCTACCTAGGACACAGCCCCTGGGGGTCTGCGTGCCTCACCTGCCAGCCCCCGCCCCTTATGTTTGAATCATGGTGTGATTCACAGACCCCCTTCCTGTAGCTTTTATAGTCCCTGTTCTTTCAAAGCCAGTGTCCCGACTCACACCCAGAGTTTTCCAGAGCACTGCTAGGCATAGAGTTAGATGTTCAGCATATTGATTGTCAGTCGGTAGAAAGGAAATCTGTTTAAAATACTGAATTTTTATCCCACTCTTGTTTCAAATCAAGGAGAACTGACTAGTGAGTTGAGAAAACACAAAAGCCCTGAGGCTAAACTGTAAAAAAAAAAAAAAAAAAAAGACTCGTAAATATTAAGGACAGTTTGCTTTTCTGCCCAGGTTGGACAGGAGGCAACCTGAAGTAGAAGATGGATGTTTTGGATTTTTAGGATAAAAGCTCCTTCATATACCTCCTGAAAGTCAAAATAATAGACAGTTGTGATGCATGGAGGCCGCTGTCAACAACCGTAAGCTTTCCTATTGCTGGTGGCTTTCTTTGATTGAATTTTAAATTTATTATGTTTTATATTCTTATGAAGGTATTAATCTTACCTTGCACTTCTTGACTTTATATTCAGTCATTTAAGTCAACTAATTAAGTAACTGAAATGCACAACTGTCAACTTTGGAGAGTATATTCAAACCAGCACTATATCTGGCTTTTTTTTTAGAATCAAAAGAACAGTCTTATCTACCTACATCTCTTTTCTTCTCATCCTAAAGGTTTCTTTGGCTTTCAGAAAGATATAGAAATAATGTGTATGTGAATTAGTGACTCAATGGATTTTACTTGAATGTTGTATATTACATTCCACCCCGTTTGAAAATAACCAGCCCATGGACCACTGTTTACATCACCTGTCCTAGTTCCACATGTAAGATATTTAATGTAACAGAGATTATGCTGTAATTCTGTAGCGGTTCAAAGGCATATGTGAGGTGATTATTTCAGTAAGCGTAGACCACTCAGTACGATGTGTAATTCAGAGACCTGTAAGTGGAAAAACACGTAGAAGCTAATTTGGGCAGATTTTCCTGCCAATGTGAGCAGACCGAGTCTCCTCATACAGAAGGAATGCTCTGTGTGCCTGAGTCTGTGCTTCTCTCTTCTCTGACACGGCGCGTGGACCTGAAGCTGCGGGCTGCCCTGAGCCTCATCTGTGCGGCCAGAACTTTCTCATGTATGTTTTCTGTCCTAAGCCATTTGAAGCAAAAGCGCTTCCCCGTGACTTTCTGACCTTGGATGTCTTTTGTTGCCATTTTTGCTTCTCTTTAAAAATTGGTAAAAGCTAGAAATTTGAGGCAGAGCTCCACGAGGTGCTTAAAGGGCACTTTTAACAAGAAACTAAGGCAACTGGAAGGGCTTCTCCAGTGGCTGAGATGGCAGAGAGTCTGTCTGCAGTTTTTGCAGGAGACTTGGCTTTGATCCCTGGGTCAGGAAGATCCCCTGGAGAAGGAAATGGCAACCCACTCCAGTGTTCTTGCCTGGAAAATCCCCTGGATTAGCCCTGGATAATTGGCAGCTCCATGTTAGTCTTAACCTTCATTGAAAAGTGAGTGACTGGTTGGAAGATTGACTAACCAGAAGTTTAATGCATACCAGAATGAGATGACCAGAGCCTCATGACAAAAGGGATAATGAGCCTTGAGATGTGTCTTTTTAAACGTTACCTGTTGAAGCTTCTGATTTTTGATGCTTTATAGAGAAATATGAACTGTAGAGTTGAATCATGGTTTATCAAAAGGAACAAAATGAACCAAGATTGGCAGTTTGCTGATCTCTTAGGAATACCTTTTCTGGAGAAAAGTTCACATGAAGTGCAATAAGCTTGTAAAGGTAAATAGTTATTAATATTTTGGGTAACATAATGAATTATGATTATAAGTATGAACTGACTGGCAGCTTTTATTTCAGTATTAGCAAGTGTCTGGTCAGTGTTGGAGCCCATGTATTATTTCATTTCAAGTGGATGAAATGTTAAATAAACTCAGAATGAAAATAAATCCTCTCTTTTATTTGTATGTAAAGGACGAAGCAGTTTTTATGTTATGTCTGGGTGCCGTCAGTAATGCCTGTATTAATCAGGTGATAATTTCTAGTTTTGGCCAACGGTTTTCCACTTTCTTGAACACCATAGCAGCACCCGGCACCCGCCATGAGCCCCACAGTGTAAATTCCAGGAACATTCATCATGACACAGGGGGAATGAGATTCTGCCTTTGGCCATGGTGACTAACACCCTTTCACATGATGTTGAGGTCAATTTGCTTTTATATTGTTCGTCAGATTTTAACATGAACCTAGCATTTGCCATAGTTCACAGAGAAAATGTAAATTTAACCCAGGGTCTGGGGAGTGCCTTATTAACAGGCATAATAAAGAACTGAGCATTTTACCCTCCTTGGTCACATCTCTGTACCTGTTTGACTGCCAAAACTCTGTTCATCACTTAAATCATGGAGATATATTTGAGACATATTCTAGGAGTCAGACAGAGCCAGTACAGTCTGGATTGTACCTATTTTTAAAATACATGTATTTGGGCTGCTGACATTCTTTGTGACCTTCAGTTTTATTGGTTTGGATTGTTTGGACAGAATAATTGGATCTGCATCATAGAGCTGTTGTAAACAAGATAACTCCACTGTAGCGCTTCACATACTGCCCGGCACACTCAATGGATGATTGTTCATCGTGTATTTGTTTAAAGACTCTGGACGTGCATTCAAAATGCCAGTGTATCAATATACTGGTAAGATTTGAGAATCCCAGCAACTTCCCCAGAGACCACCCACAACCTCACTAAAAATAGCAGATTAAAACAGTCACAGGAAGACACTTGAGTCAATCCTTTTAAAGTCCCTAACAAGGGTTTGCCTAAATGAGACAGGTAGGGAAAGTTTCTACACATAGATGAGAAAGCTGGGGCTTCGATAGTACAAGTTCAAGACTGTCCCCGGTCGCTTGAAAACTATAGTGGCAGCCAAGGTCTGACACCCAAAGCTACAACTGGAATGCTCTACTAAAATTAGTTTTTCAGAATTTGTGTATTCTCATGTGTTCAGAATTTCACTGAAAGCCAAAGAAAAGATTTTATTTGGTAGCAGTGATACAAGGATCGCTTAAACTCTAGATTTTCAAAGTGTCGTCCATAGCCCAGCAGCATCCAGGTTTGTTAGAAACGCAAGTTCTTGGACCTCAGCGTCTGCAGAAAGAGGAGCCGCAGGATTCCTGCACACGTCACAGCTGGAGAAGGTCTGCCGTGCTCCCAGAGACCCAGGTTTCCCTCGGTCAGTTTCAGGTCAACCTCAGATACTCTGACTGTGTGTATCCACCCCTCACCAGACTCCAAGGAAGCTTCCAGCTTCAATGTGGACAGTCTCAGGGACAAGATCAACACGCTTGCGATCTCTGTTTTGTCCACAGCCACAGCTCCGTCACCTGAAATGCGTGGCCCCAGCCGACCTGTGATTACCTGGTTCATATGGAATTTGTGTTCTTTCCAGGAATCTGAAGAAAGGTCCTCACATTTTCAATTTCCAGTTGTGGAAAAGAATCCACTTGGTGTCACGGAGAGGTCATCCCCAGGAGGTGGAAAGAACAAGGAATCTCAAGGTTTCTAGGAACAGCTGGAAGTGAAGGTTACCCCTGGGAGCCGAGCGGCAAGGTGGCTGGGACCGGCCAGGTTGTGGCCATTGTTCCTGAACCAGCCCAGCTGTCACGGAGGCCAGCGCTGCCCCTGGAGCTTGCGGGCAGAAGGAGCAGTCCAGACGATACACAGAGGGCTTGTTGGACCCTTGGGGAGCCCGGGGTATGCCCAGTCTTCAAGAGAAGGCCTGTGAGGCTCAGAGAAGAGGGATGATTCGTCTAATCACGTGGGGGCCAAACTGCCACCTCAGTCCAGGCCTGTCAAACCCGAGTGTCTGCCACTGTGCTTCCCAGCTTTTCCATCAATAGGCACGCCTAGAACTAGCTTTGGTACCAAAGCTAAATCACAGTCTTCAGCGGGTTTTTTTTTTTTTCTGCATACATTACTCCTTGTAATACCCCCAAGAGGTTCCTGTGAGCGTCACATCCATTAAAAAGGTGGGAAAACTGTCTTGAAGAGGTGAAATCAGTTACCACAAACCAAACATGGTTAATTCAAAGGACTGTAAAACATGTATTCACATTCCCACATACACCCCCACAAACAAAAGGTTTGTAAAACATACAAATTCAAATAAGCACCCAACCAAGGTGAAAGGCAGGTCAACAGGCTCATTTCCAGATGGGATTCCGTATTAGAGTAACGCGAGCAATGATTCTTCGCTCCCAATCCCTGGGGTTACCGAGCCAGTCATCCTTGATTGCAGCTTGATTCCAGCTCCCGGCTAGCAACGATGGAAACAGAATCTGCCCCCTGAGACCAGCCTTGAACCTGTGGTTTCCGCGCTCCAGACCAAAGACAGTCGCAGCGCCGAGAGACGCCGCCAGGGGGCAGCATAGCCTGCAAGATCGCGCGGTTGGAACTCGCCGATCCCCAGAACGGCAGGCAGAGGACGCGGGGCCGCAAAGGGCGGCCTGGGAACATGCATCTCTGGATTTCCGAGGCCAGGTCGGGAGGATGACGCAGGAAGCTACGAGAAGGACGTGCTCTCTCAGGCAGCAGGAAGCTGGGAAGATGCGGAGACAGGCAGGAATGGAGTCGTCCCCTGGGGCTTATTGTGCAGAGCACCTGATTCCCGACGGGTGGAGTCAGAACTGAACCCAGAACCGCCGTGAGCCGGAATCTGTCCCTGCCCTTAGCCATCGCGCCTGGCCCTGGACGAGGAGCCCTGAAGCCAGCTTGCAGAGGGGAGCTGGAGGGGGCTTTAAGGAATGGTATCCCAGCTGATACTGGGAAGAGGAGGAGAGATTTTTCCCTGGGAGGAGAAAAGGGGCGGGGAGAAAGCCAGGTCTCCTGGTACAGAAAAGGCTTCACCTCACCATGAAAAGACCTGGAAGCCGGGAAAGGGTGGCTGAGTGGTGTGTGCAGGGAGGGAACTGTGGGGGAATGCCGCCGGTATCTCAGGGTTGTGAGGGCCCCTCAGCACCCAGTGACGGAGAGCCGGCTTCATCCGAAAGCAGGCAGCCCCTGTGCGTGTTTGTCTGGGGGAAGAACAGCAGTCACACCCTCGCTCGGCCACCTGTGCGGCATCAGCCAGGTCCCCTCTCTGAGCCTCAGTGTTCTCATCTGTAAAATGGACACAATAAAACCTACATTACGGTCTTGCTGTGAAGCTTAACATGGATAAAGGGAGAGCCTGAAGTCATGACT